TGTTTAGCTGTGTAGGAACCTTGCTGATTTGTCAGTGATTCAAGACTTTGATTATTGCATCATCTTTAGAAATACTTATCGGAGGGATCAGATTAGGTCCTTTTCTGATTAGAATCGCTCTACTCCATCAGTAGGAATCTGCCTTTACAAAGATGATGCTTAAGAGGATAATGACCACACTTTGTAAATCACAGTTCTGCTAATCATTTCAAACACAAATCGAGTATGGTTTCCATTTAGGCGCTTGGCTGTGTGTAAGACATTTTGTTGCTGGTCTGCACATCCAGATGTGGCTAAAATGTTCGGTGACTTTACAAGCGAATGAATAGGGATTTCACGACGACCTATTGGGAACAGCTTTGCAATCACTTATTTAACTTACAAGATTTCCTTCGCCTTCGCTACGTCCTGGATTCTGTCCAAAATTGATTGCATTTGCCCGAGATTTGGTTTGTGTACTTACAGATGAACCCTGTCTAACATTTGCTATATTTATAACTCAATAAAATCGCTAACAAGCTCATGTTTGCACTCGCATTCAGTTTACGACCAGCCCAGCTTGCTTAACCTCACACTTGATCACATGTTCATTTACACTTACTTTCGAAGGCTTAAATTGCGCTAGTCCGCAGCTGTAATAAACACTTATACATCTAATAGTTTATTTGAGAATAGACTGTCGCTGTTTACATCAATGGACGACATAGCGGTCACTCGATCTACTCACAGTGCCCGGGCTTCTACCCATAAGCACCAATTCACCGTAAGAACTGCTTGAGACACGGTGTCTAGTGACTGAGTCCTTGCTCCTTTTCTTCTGAACGAGCCTCGCTCGAAATCCTCGCCCTCCCCACTCGGCGACCTCAACGACACGCATCGAAATTGCTCATTTCACTGGCGCCAGACAAATTAGATAAAAACCAGGCGATGCATGAGTGTGGTGTGTGTATGCGGAATTTCGTGATCGTCAAAAGACGACTGCGATTTTGCCTCGATTCTTCGCATCGCCAGCCCGCTTCATCATCCATCAAAACCACGATGCTTTGATGAAGCGCCACAGAGCCGTGCAAGTCTCGGAGTGCAGTGCAGTGCTGGTGGCGGTGGTGCTGTGTGTGTCTGTCCGTCTGTGAGAGATGTCTGCAAAGGCTCACGTTCACATTAAATCGACTGCATCGTCGATTAGAACAATAGCTTGGCTGCACTTCGCTCTAGAAGCTGATCAAATTTCGATCCAGACCCTATTGATCGCAGCGTGGCGCGCGACCGGTCGCGCCATCCGCCACTTCCTTTTACGGATACGGTAGGCTCGCGAGTACGGTAAGGTTCACGTCCACCGCCTTTCTTCGCTCGCAGCGTCATTACTCAGTTATTGAACTGTGCCGATAGCATTAACAACTACTTTCCATCATTCATCTACTCTAAGCTCATTGCTTGCAGGAATGTTGCGCTATGAATTCAGTTGTGTTATGATCTTGTTTTATTTTTCGAAATTTAGCATTTATATCCATTATCGCCCTTTCATTTGAAAGTCTTTGATGCGTATCAGTTTCAAACCTGACCTACATTGAACATTCGTGCATTATCCCACGATATAATTGTCCACTCATGGACCTTGCAAATACAAATGATAAAATGCAGATTAGTAAACAGTAAAGCTAGTCCACACACTTTTTTTCTCAAAAGGGGCTCGTAAGCTCCGCCTGTGCACGATTTGGTCAATTTTCACACTACAGTATGATGCTGGGTACTTTCTCCTTCTAGCAACGCTCTATTTATCTTATGTTGCTATTTTATCACGGATCTGCGTAATGTGTATTTGACTCCTCGCCTTTGAATCCACCACTAGGCGTGGGGCAGATTTTTTCCTGAATGATTCATGACACGAGGAAAGAGGTGTTTGGCACAGTGTCACGGTGTAACCTCATGAGGGATTGTGTTTATCTTGATTCACTGATCCATAGATTTTCGCGCACATCGATGTTCAGCACAACGATTGTTAAAATAATCCTATGATATCTTTTCTTTTTCTAGTAATCCGCTTGTTTCTTTTTCTATAAGAACAGCCGCTTTTTTTTTCGCGTTGTGATTCAATGATAATCATTTTGATTATTTGCACCATTTCAATTCTGCTTTTTCTATTCTTTTTTATATGACTCAAGCCGGAGTGCTGGTGAATAGCTGTGATATTTCTGCTTGCAGCATTTGATTAATTAGCTTCGAACTTATAAAAATCAGGTGCTTGATGCTTCACTTTCGTAACGCCGTTATTTATGGCTCTGCATTGGCATACCTCGGCTTCCCTTCTAAGTCAGATTTTTCTGACATTGCAAAATAACGCTCCGCGTTATGGGTGAAAAAGCTGATAGTAATTTAATTGTCCGAAAATTTGTCTGTTGAAGACGAGAATGAACATAATTCATTTTTGTGATATGCTGGAGCTACGGTACTTGCTGTAATACGTGTTGCGCGGGTAATTTATGTCTTGTTCAGGATAGGTGAAGAGCTTTGCGACTGAATATAAAAATACCTTCACAAAAAGTAGACAACTCGTTTAAGAAGCACGCATGGCTTACACATTCGCAATTGCAAGTGTTTGGCGATTACACGAAAACCATGATATTCGTGCACTGAGCAGAGCTAAATGATCCTCAGGGGAATTGTTGCATTTGTTATCACTGAAAGCTGAGGAATTTTTCAAAAAGTTTGGATGTGTGTGTATATGTGGAGTGTCGGCGCTGCTCTGAGTGCCCCCATGCGAAATATCAAATGTCGCCTCTTTGCTTTGACTTTGCCGCCTTCCACTAAGGCCCACCGCTCCCTCCAGGCAGTTTTGGCTGGCTGAGACAAGCCGCTCGACACCTCTTCCTTGCCCCATCTACTGTCTTTCTCAATCTCTTCTCACATTTATATACTTGCATATCGATTGCTTACATAAATCACTTCCTTTTTCCTTTAATTTTTTCCTCTCTTTCTCTCGAATCGGTACTAGTTCGGGCAGTCAATCTCTGAAACTGCTCAAGTCTCTACGCATAAGAAAATATTGACAACAAAAATCCTGTAACCACATAATCTTGATTCGTTCGCATGTACTTCAACATTTATTTCCTCGAACTAGCACTTGGGCGAAAAAATCTATCTGCATGAAATGCCTCATCGTGTTCCGTTCCTGGCACTATGCTGAAATTTGAAGCCTTGTTAGCCGAATAAAAAACTACGACGCATTTTTGCAAATATGGTTTTGTCGTAGATGGCGTTAGACTTTATTAACGGATGGTTTAATCAAATTTTTTGCATTTGCGCATAACCGATTCCTTTTTTATAACGTCAGTACCTATTACTTGCATTTCTTGAGATTTGCAAACCAATAGAACACTTTTGTTCTTTTACATTCATTTACTTTGCCTTTTTGTTCTTCTTTCTACTAAGGTTCGTAGCGCTACCCTATAGGAGTTGATCCTTCTGCGAAGTTGAGAATAAAAGTTTATCCTCGACTTTTAGGTTTCTCCTTTTTTCAGAGTGGCTTGACTGAATTTTATTGTTTCTTCCACTCGTTAAAGAACAAACGTCGGCCGTAACAAAATAATTTTGTAAGCATGGACTAGTTGGCAACTTTTGCGAAAAAAAACCCTAATATCGCATTATCGCAAAGGAAATTGCACAAAAGCATCTTAAAGCTCGATGCAAACAAGTGTTTTACTTATCAATCGACATTAATTTGTGAATTGTTCCTTTAACCACTCAAAATTCACAAAAACCCGCAGTAACTCATGTTCATGGCGAAATTTGCCTTGGCGAGCAAAAGCAATGCAACGCAACCCTTGCTAGTCGTGTGACGAAAATTTAGAAAAACGACGACGCAGCAATAGAGGAATTCTCGATTGGAGCAGGGGTCTGCAAACAGTTCTCCTCCCCACTTTTTCGGTGTTTTCGGTGCAGTTGTACTTTGTGAGGAGTGCACAATACTGCATAGTCAACCACGTGCCAAGACTGATCAATCGAGACTAAGCTTCAAGCTCTCAAACTTTCTCTAAAAGGAATTATAGAAGCGAATTGAGCCCTAGCCATCCTAGACCTCTAGTGTAAGTGAATATCCGCGTTGCAAGGAAAAAAATATCTTACTGCGTTGATCTATTCCAACTCAACTCACTTTCTGTCGTCAAATCGCAAACTCAACAAACCATGAAACATTTCCCTGTCAAATTCAAAGACGTGGGCTCGACCACCACACATTCATTCAAACTGCATTTCAATATAAATGTGCTATCGTCTTTCATAGGCCAACTCCATATTATTTCCAACCGCTCTTCCGCGTTTTTCCATGCGGATATACCATTTCCAGAGAATTGCAGAGTGTGCGAGGAACAAATCACTTAGATTACTCCCTTCAGAATGTGTATGTAACTCAGTAAGGAGATATTTTGTGTCGATGTTGTTCCGGTACACTAGCTCTTGATTCTTGCGATGTAGTTCGATGCTGTACTCCAGGCACAATTCTGAAGCGGCCTTTTCATCTGCACAAGTACTTGAGCTTTTTTTGCTGCTGATATATTCTCAAGGGGGCCGTTAAGGGAGCGACTAGGACAGCGCCTTGAACCTCTGCGTACATGGATGTCACAAAACTTTTCCTAGGACTTCAAAGCGCTTCTCTTTTCTCATGATTTTTCGCACAATCCTGGGGAATGGCCTGTTTTATGATGTTGCTCATGAATTTTGATTAGAGTGTGTGGGCGACGTGTAGGATTTCATAAGGCTATCTTCTTCATCCTCGCGTCACCATGCGTGGTTTATGAACACACGAAAATGTCCTATATAAACCATTCTATCCTCCATTATTTGCATCTCTTCATTCGTGCCCGAATTCTGCGAGGAATGAAAGTATCTCGCTAGCTCTCCGCCAACTATACCGCCGAACTTCTATCCTTTACGTTTCTTCTCATCGCTTCACAAAAAGGGCACGACAATGCGCTACGACGACAACTAAATTGACACAGATCTAGGCTATACCGTATACTGTACGATTCCAGTCCAGAGCCGGTGCTATGCGGTGAACAACGCGTTCCGGTCGTTCCAATGTGCGTCGTCGACTTGTGCTCAGTATGAACCGCGCCTTGCTCGTCGTTCGTGTCTCTGTCGTCTTCGAACTGCTCATCACGCCGGTCTACGCGTCTCTGGCACTTACTCCTCACGAGCTTGGCATGTTACAGAAAGGTGGGTGTCCTTATTGCTGTTGCCAGATCAGTTTGCGAACGGAGTGGGGACCACCACAATCACGTGAATAGAGTGGGAGACTGTATATAGTGTGTCCATTAGTTTTGTACTCTCAATGTGTAAGTATTTGCATCGTAGCAGAAGCCACTACGAATGTAGATTGTAAATTGTAGCCTCGACGACGAAGTTCTGTTTGATGTAGTTTGGGTCCTAAGCGACGTGATCAGTTACATAGAATATGTATCTCTTGTGTTTATGTATGTGTTTCTTTCTTCAGGCTTCCTCCATCGATTTGGTTTTACCCGCGTTCCCGATCTGTCTGGACCAGCTCTTCCAATCCCAGATCATATTTGGGATATTTACGAAGAAGCGAGTGAGGATGGGGAAGTGGACTGGATACGTCACTACTACCCAAAAGTTCGTGTTTGTCATCATTTTTTCTGCAGTAGCCATATTTACTGGTATTGCCTTCATGGAGCTACCTTCATCCTAGGATCTGCTATGATATCAATCTTCAATTGCTTCCTAGTTTTTGTTCAATTTCAAAAAATTGGATCATTTGTAGCTGCAATGTTTGAATCAAATTCTGCAAATTGAATCAAATTCACTCCTCAATGTCCCTAATAGCGGCCAGCATTTGCAGTAAGTCAACTTACTATACTGGGAATTAGCAATTGCTGCTTTTTCAATGGTTCCGAAGATAGATTCTTGTTACGTACCATCACAAGGCATCATTTTTTAGCCTCCGCTAATCGTAAAAACGTCACTGATGCAGCTTTTCAGATCAGTTTTGTTTTAAATTACTTTCGGTTCGCGAAGGAAAGAAAAATGATAAAACTTCATAGTCGAAGAGGCCACTGGAAGTACGAACCTCAACAGTGTCTTGCGCGGGTCAGACGATTAGCGAGCAAGTCATTGCATCGTCCTCCGAGATTTCTGTACCAAGTGACAGTCCCCGAAGGGGACAGGGATGGATCCACTTCCAATGTTCTCAGCGGATCCGTTCCACTACGCCACTCGCCCTTCGGACTGGGATGTATGGCCAGGTCTCCCCGTTGATCAAGCAACAGAGAGCTGATAGTAAAAAACAGCAGATTTCTTCCTGCAAGTATTTCCCTTCCATCTCTCTTTCTATCTGGATCACCCTAGCGTTTTCTGCGCTCTTCTCTTTGGATTCAGCTGTAATCTACACTAGAGGATAAATTTTGCCACATTTATCCTTTATAGTCTCGCTTTCTTTCCATATGCAAATACAGAAAAGTTGATACATTCAGATTGATTTCAGTTCTGCGCTATAAAAGTTTAACAGTAGAAAAGGAGTTGACGTCCATATAAAGACAAAACAATATTGAAGAAAAGCAATTTCGCTATAATTCTGGTCGAATGTTGCTTGTCAGCTATTAGCTGAAGAGGGGAAAAGTCTGTTTGTTAGGTCTGCATCTCCACGATTGCCTTGAGGTCCTTCGCCAGATCAGAGGTAGAGAGAAGCACTCAAAGTTGATAACGAAATATTAGCCTTTTTCTTTCATCTTACCTCTATGCCATCAGCAATTTGTGATGGTTGTATCATTTTTGCGCGCAATAGGAGTCAGCTATGCAGAAAAGTGATTGAGAAGTTATCAAATTACATACACTTCGCTATAATTTACGAAGTATGATAGTAAAATCATAATTATGCAAGACTACTAAAATTACTGACATATCTCCAGGAGCTTTTCGAAGTAAATTCGGGACTACTCGTCTCTTACAATCTGTCGGCCTCGGTGCGAAACGCGATTGAGGAAGAAGTTGTGAGAGCCACGCTCAAGGTCAGGCTCAATAAGGTGAACAGATCCACTTCCCTAAGGGTGTACGAAGTCGAAGGACAGAAACTCGAGGTGAATTTGTGTGACATATCTTGCAAAAAGTGACTGAACTCTGGTATTCAGACCCGAAGGTTGCTTGGATCGAGGACGATACATGTCTCTGAATTCACACGACCCACGGAGTGGATCGACCTTGACGTTGTGTCTGCTCTTCGCAGTGGAAAAGATACGGTAGGCCTGAGTCTCGGCTGAATTATCTGGGACGATTCGTTCGGATTCACATTAAAAGTGGTGAAAAAGCATGGACCATCCACTGAAAGTATATACTACATTGTGATTACCATGAATCTTGTTAGATCAGCTACAATCATTTTATCTTACCCAAAACCGCTCACCAGTTTATCGATTATTCCAGGTCGCATTCCTCATCGAACATCCTGATGCCACGATTTATTCATCGGAACCGCACTCCATGTCTTCACTTCCGATGACACGGCATACGAGCCTTCCGTTGATTGTTTACAGGTGCGTCTCGGCTGTCACATTGATGATTTTTTGGAGATGAGGACAATGTGTTCTAAGCACATGGAAGCTTTTGCGGAAAACAATATTTATCGTAGGTTTTGAACGCACGGACTAGACATCACTGCGGAGCACGTGCGGCGAAATAAAACGCTTGCCCCAGTGCAACGCTATTGTACAGTTGTGCTCTCGCAACATCCGCGCGTGGTTTGCAACATTTGAGCAGTCCTTTCGGTCAACAAATCGAAGATACAGTTATGCACGTGCAAAACAAATTGAGAAGCTTGCAGTGTGCAAAAGGAGCCTTCTCGGGTGCGACGGAAAAGAGCCGCGCCGACTCGCCGCGACCGAAAGAAACAAAGAAAACAGCATCATCGTCATAACGCTACCGAGAGCGGCATCTGTCAGAAGAAAGCGTTGTACGTCGACTTTGAAGAGATCGGCTGGCAGGAGTGGATCTTAGCGCCAAGTGAGTGTACTTCAGCTCACACTTCGAGACTTCTTCTGATTGCCGTTGGCTGCAGAAAGCTACGAGGCTGGTCAGTGTGTCGGCAAATGTCCTCATCCGTTGCCTGCGCACTTGAACGCCACTAACCATGCAATTGTGCAGTCGTTAACAAATTCTCTCAACCCTCAGGTAACGTTTGTCCTCTTGTTCCCAGTCAAGCCTCTCGAAATATGTACAACAATAGATTTACAGGTACCACCACCTTGTTGTGTACCGACAGAAACGACACATCTTTCTATATTGTTTTTGGATGTCGATAATAAGTACGTATCATCTATTCTACGACTAGGAGACGCGAGACCGCAATGCGGACAATGTCTTAACACGTTTGAGTTTGTTCTCCCCTGTTTCTAAAGAGTGAATATAGCTGGAAGAGATAAATAACAAGTATAAACCTGCTAAATACACGACCAGGCTCGTTTAGATAGTGTGCGCAATGCGATCCCGCGTCTCCTAGTCACAGAATGAATAATATACAATTTCGAGTTTCGTATATTCGTAGATGAGATGATTTCAGAATTATCATCAAGAACTATCCTGATATGCGGGTCGAAGCTTGCGGGTGTCGCTAAGGTTTGCATAATTTTCACATTCATTTGTACATACATACAGAAAAAAAATGTAAAAACATCGTGCCAACACAAATCCAATCATAATAATAAATGGAGGAACTATATTCAGTAAAACGAATAGGAGCAAAAAACAAGATTGATTTTTCAGGTTTAATTTCCGCATCACTGTCAATGTTCTAAAATAATGAATGGGAAATGAAATTGCCGAACATATACTGTTGTGAAAATTTGTATAGGCTGCTTTAATAGACGGCTTGTGATAGATTGATGGTCATAACGTTTCCAGTTCAGTGGAGTCAACACATTGTCAGGGTGATATCATGATCAGGATCAATAGTTAACAGATCCTGTTGCTCAAAATACGAAGATCAGAGAAGTAGTTGACGTCAACTACGAGTGGTATGTAATGCAGCATTCCATCTATTGATCAAACCGATCTATCCATCGACCATGGGAGGCGTGCAAGTGGTACCCAGGCAGCCGTCTGCTGGCGCAGCCAGCCGCCAGAGCTGGCGTCAGCGCAGCCGCATACGGTAGAATAATTACGCTAGCCGTCCGATACCTCTCCGCCGAGAGGTTTCCTCGCACCTCGTCGCGCTGAGGTGCGATATCAGCCTCAGGGATAGCGCGATATTATCAATATCTATATTATTTTAATCAGCAGAAAATTCTTATTTTATTGAATGTTGGAATTGAACGAATTTACACAGAGTTAAGTTCTTCTAGAAGAAAGTCATAAAATTCAATCTCTTAAAAGGACCAGAAGTTGAAATAACTCAAGATTTAAAAAGTGTTCAGTTGTCAAAAATTTGTTTTCTCAAATTTAAAATCGGGGGAGAACGGACGGTCCAAAATGAGAAGAAAGGTTTGTTTAGATGAGAATTTAAAGACTTAGTGATGAGTAAAAAAGTTGCTACGCTAAAGTAGATCAAATGACCGAGCCAAAGTGGGTCAAAAATTGAGTAGGTCATTGATAGAAGGAAATATGCCACCCAGGCTGATATAAAAGACAATAGAGTAGGTTATCAAGAACCAAAATGTCTAATCTATACAGCCTTCAACAAGAAATTTTGAAATCGAGGAGCTGCGAACTACAAATGTGCACCTGAGGCATTTCACAGACACTAAGTCTTTAAATCCTCATTTAAACAAACCTTTCTTCTCACTTTGGACCGTCCGTTCTCCTCCGGGAATTTGAGAAAACAAAATTCTTGACAACTAAATACTTAAATTTTGAATTATTTCAACTTCTGGTCATTCTAAGAGATTTAATTTTATAACTTTCCTCTAAGAAAACTCTTTAAGTAAAATTGTTTATGTCCGTTTTTTCAATAAACTAAGAATTTTTTGCTGATTAAAATGATATAGACATTGATAACATTATTGATAATATCGCGCTATCCCTGAGGTTGATATCGCACCTCAGCGCGACGAGGTGCGAGGAAACCTCTCGGCGGAGGTATCAGATGGCTAGCGCAATTATTCTACCATATGCGGCTGCGCTGACGCCAGCCCCGGCGGCTGGCTGCATCAGCAGTCGGCTGCCCGGGTACCACTTGCTACGCACCCATCGACCATTGTCGATTTGTTTCGGTACTATATGCTCCTGGGAGTGCTACAAACTTTGAGACTTGTGACATTAAATTTCTGAAAGAAAAGGCAAAAACATGATTTCAAAACAGAAGGTCTTTTGATTCAAATCCCTTTGTTGTTATTGAAATTACAGCACTGAGATTTGCTCAAGCCAGAAGAATTGCCGGAAACATTGCCAGAAGAATCCAAACAGTAAGGCTTTCACCCATGCACCATCGTTTACAGAAAAAAAGGACTTTTAGGTTGTTAGCCTTTCAAAAAATGATTTCATATCTTTAAAATGCTAGCGAAAACTTAAACCGACCACTGCTTACAATCATTGGCAGCGCAAAAGAGTTTCGGAGGCTCGTTTGTTTATGAAGTGCGACACCTAAAGATCCAGTGTGCTCAGGCTTTGTAAGTCTACTCCGGTACACTTGGAGGCAGTCCACTTTGGATGCACCACAACATAGATTAACGTGAGACTTCTAGCATCTTCGAGAAATGTCCGTTTTCTTCCGTGAGGCGCGGAAGCTTGCACTAGTGATTTATATGCAGTTTGTCATACTGTAGCTACGAGGCGCTAAATGTTCTTTGCAAAGAATGTTCTATTCCCTAGTGAACTGTTAATCACATGCAAGGGAGAAAAATTCCACCGTTGAATGATTGCTTTGCAGACTTTTTCTTGTTCTCCCGGGGCAGCGTTGGGTGTCAGCGGATTGTCATTAACTGGTGATTTTTTGATGTCCGTTCTTGCCGTTCAAGTCGTCACGATCTCGCGCTAAACGATGGAGGCTATTCGTCCACGTTTCCGCCTCGCTGCCGTCACCCTCTCCCCTTTATACAAACAAACACATCCTTCTCTCACTCCTTGTACCCTCGGGTTGCTCGAGATTTCAGATTTGATGTAGGTATTGTGTTGATCGACGCCTTCGCTTGCTGCTAATAATTGTACATTTCCTCATGATGCTTATTTTGTGCTTATGTAATAAGCAGCTTTCCGAAAAGCAATGTATTTTCAACATTCATAGTGCTTGAAACCAAATTTCAAAGTTCAAGTCCATGATCTCATTCCTACTTCCCCTATAATTCTCATCGCTGTTCTACTTCTGATATACTCTGCTCTAACCTGCAATACTCTGTTCCTCTTGCTTTTCCTGTGCTGCTTGCCCAGTGCATAGTGTTTCGCGTTTTTTTACGAGACTTAGGATTCTAGATGTAATGTACGTTGAGAGAGCAGATCCAAGTGTAAGTTGTCTCTAGCGCTAAATTTTACTATTTGTTGTAGAACTGGCTTCTGCGACTCAGTTAGTAGTAGACATTCAATATACAGAGTTCTATTGTTTTTGAAACCGATAGTTAGGGCCGTGCATGTTGGCTGCATATGCAAAGTGCAAAATCATGATCTATGTTGGGAACTTCCGATTTCTTAAGTCCACTTCCTTCTCACTGGTACTGTCTCTCAATTTCTCCAGTACTGATGTTCATATTGTCTGTATGCAATGATAAAAATTATTTTGTTGAATGAATGTTCTCCTGCAAAAGTTGATTATCAGAGAAGCAAAAAATGCCAAGTCCCATTTTTGCTACTGACGCTTGTTTTACCTAATGAATGCTGCTTATTTGTCTACCTCTTCGTTGGGTGGCTCTTGCATATCAAAAAAGAAGACGAAAAAAATAGAACTTGTCGTCCATACCAGGGAACAGCACGGGACTGCAATTGCCGAGCTGGAATTCGTTTGCTTTTTGCACTAAGTGATAAACATACATATGTCTTGTTAACAGCACACACGCAACGGTATGATACCAAGTTTGGTGCATAATATACTTTGGAATATTCGAGAGTTTTTTCGAATAGTCGAATAAGATATATTCGAAAATCAAAAATCTTATATATAAAGCTGAATGTCTGTTTGTCTCTTTGTATGTCTGTATGTCTGTATGTCTGTATGTCTGTGTGTACGTATGTTCCGAATAGAAAATTCCATTTCTGAACCGAGGACCAAACTTGGCACACATACACTCCGGGCCCCGGCGGGTGTCATAGGCTACTTTTCGTCATCGATCGATATCGATTTTATCGATTTTTATCGATTTTTTTGCTGAGTTCACCTACGGGGCTGGGATTTTGCACAGGGGGGTAATCGAGCATGGGTATTCCGAATACAATATTAGTTTTCAAGATCGTCCATTACTTTTATCGATTTTATTGATTTTTTGTAAATTTGAGCTAGGGGGCTGGGAGTTGGCACAGGGGGGTAATCGAGCATGCTGATCATCCCCAAGGGGGGTGATCAGCATGCTCGATTACCCCCCTGTGCAAACTCCCAGCCCCGCAGGTCAAACTTTACAAAAAAAATCGATAAAATCGATAAAAGTAATGGACGATCCTGAAAACTAATATTGTGTTCGTAATCAGCATGCTCGATTACCCCCCTGTGCAAAATCCCAGCCTCGCATGTCAAAATTTACAAAAAATCGATAAAATCAATAAAAGTAATCGATAATTCTGAAAACTAATCTTGTATTCGGAATCCCCATGCTCACTTCCCCCCCCCCCCCCTGTGCCAACTCCTAGCCCTGTAGGTGAACTCTGCAAAAAAAATCGATAAAAATCGGTAAAATCGACATCGATCGATAACGAAAAGTGGACTGTGACACCCGTCGGGGCCCGAAGTGTATGTGTGCCAAGTTTGGTCCGGATACGGCGGAGCCGGGTAAGCCAGCTAGTATCGAATAATCGAATTTCGAATATTTTCAAAAACAAAAAACGTCGAATATTCGAATATCAAATATTTTCGAAACAAGAAAATCATCGAATAATCTAATATCGAATATATCCGAAATGAGAAAAATCCGAATAGTCGAGTATATTTTAAAAAAAATCCGAAGAAACGAATATTTTGCATCGTGTATGTCGAATATTCAAACAAATTTTGATAAAATTAGCAGAGTGAGGGACTTTATGCAGTGGGCAACTTGGACAACAATCGATGGTTGTTGATATAGCAGTCAAAATTGTGACGGTGTCATTAGTTATTCGATTACACGAAATCGTCGAGTAATCGAATAACTTCTAGAAATAACTATTCGAATGTTCGAATATTTTGAAAATCAAAATTTTCGATTAACCGAATAATCGATTAAATTCGAAATTGACAAATTTCGAATGAGCGAATATCGTATATATTGGAGATTTTGAAATTCTCTAGTAATCGATTTCCGAATAAAATTTATTCGAATACTTTATTCGAATAGTCGAATATTTATTCGATTCGGTCCAAAGTATAGTGCATAACCGGACAGGGGCTAGTAGGAGCCTAGTGCAGAGAACTGTAAAATAAATATCTGACAGTGGCGTACCGAGGGGGGGGGCGGGAGGGGGGGGGGGGGGCGCGCGCCCCCCGAGAACGGGTCGCGAAATTTTTGAAAATTACTTACATGCTTTATAAAAATGTGCAAATGACTTGTTTATTTTTGTAAACAATTAAAATAATTTTTTAAATTTTTTAAAAATTCAAATTAGCCTTATAAAAAAATGTTTTCGGGGGCTTGGCGTCAGCCACGCCCCCCTTTTCCAGATTTTATTGGTTTGGGGCCCGCAAAATTGTTGAGAAGCCCCCCTAAAATTTTTTCGGAGTGCTTGCCGCGCCCTCCCCCCCCCGGGCCGAAATCCTGGGTACGCCACTGATATCTGACTAAAGGTAGTTGGCATTTTCTTCTGGAAGTTTTTCACTAATGAAAATTGAAACATGATCTGCAACACACAGATATATGCGTACACATATGTAATGATACGATTCCAAACTTGGCGAGTGTATGCATAGTGGAAAATGAGAAAAAATTACGAACTTGTATGAAAAGCCTATGAGAGGGCGTGCTTACAAGGAATGGTCAGAACTCGAAGTGGCCAATTCAAATAAGCTGCATACCATTCGATGCAGCATAGAACACTGATTTCAAAAGTGTCATCTATATCTGCAGAGCATCTTTGTAGGCGAAGTTATGAGCAGCTTCAAGACGAAGAAGTCGTACACAAAAATCGCGAAATTAGATACATTAGTGCCCTTTTAGCCCCTCTAGGTACGGGCCAAATAGCAATGAGCATAGGTTGGTTTGTAGGGCCAAGTTTGCTCTTTACACGCACAACTTCTTATTGTTAGCAAAATAATGGCCTTTAACGGCTCACAATTTCAGTCACGAAAGTGTTCTTCAGATAAGGAAGACAGATTTAGAGTCAGCGTTTTATGCTGCATCTGATAATATGCAGCTTGTTTGAAGTGGCCACTTCGATTTCTGACCATCCTTATTAGCTCCTTTTTCAAATCAGGATAGCTATCACAACCTAATGCCACCCTGAGGTGGCAAAACTTTCAGTCCACGTAGCTTTTTCCATGTTCAAATTTTTTGCTGCACCCAAAGTTTTTTGATTTCTTACTTCCCAGATAAGAAACATACCCTTAATGCAACCTCACCGGTGCCTCTCTAACATCAACTTATACAACAGGAGCATAAGACGGCTCCGGCAATAACAACATTCAAAGATCGGTTGAAAATTGTTGAAGTGTGCGGCAATGATGATCAGCACGTGATTGCGGCGATAAACGGCGTCCCCTTTGAAATGCGATATGCGCGAGTTTCGGCCATTCCAGCCGTCGTCTTTTGCTCTGTGGACAACACAACACGTATGGGGGCAACAAAAAGTGCTGCTACGTCACGGATTTTCTAGAAGTTACCAAGCTTCCACCCATTGATTCTTATTTCTCAAACTGGACAAACTCTTGCATCGAACGGCATCATTGTTGAAAGTGCATCAAATTTCAATCCGTGACTAGCTGGTAAAGATATGACGAATATTGCATGTGAAGAAGACTTTTTCGGGGAAGTTCTTTGCAGATGTGTAGAACAAAAAGCGATAGGCCACAATTATGTTTTTCTGATAGTACTGCTCAGAAGAGAGATAAAGCTTTGATGCTGTCGTTATATGTTTCATAGAAAAATTTACGATAATTGAAGATTTCTTTCCTTTACTTTCAATTGCAGTAATAAACCTCCAGCAGACTCTTTGGACAATTCGCAACCCACAGACGAGTGGCATTGGAAGTAGCAGAAAAAACTCAAAAGCGAGGTACACAGCCGGAAATAGTAAAGTCGCATAGGAGTGGAGGCTTACAAGAACTAGCAGGCAGAATGAGTATAACGTGGATGAAGTGGTGCAGTTTAGCGGGAGTTCTGTAGACAGATGAATGCCAGATCAGCTCAAGTTTTAACTGTACCGTATCGTGTTTCGCCCAGCATCTCTATTGGCAGTGTGCTGGCCATGTACGTCATACGAGGAGCGCCGTCTAGTGTTATGGGGGACAACAAGTGCTACAAGGACCTTATCGTTGATTCATTGCCCGCACGGACTGGACATCACTGCGGAGCACGCGCTGCGAGGCAAAACGCTTGCTCCAGTACCAATATATCGTTGTACAAACCGTGCTCTCGCAACATTTTAGCCGCGCCGCACGTGGTACACCGCGTTTGAGCAGTCCGTGCTGTCAATGAATCGACTATAGGTGTGACAGGCCACATTGGCAAGACACCGCACAAGCCCAAATAGCCCAAAAAAGCAGGGAAAGTACTCAGACAATTACTGCGAGAATCCGCGGCCCCTACCGTCGTTTTTTGAGGTGCGCGGGCGCTAAATTCTTGGACTGACTATTCGCGGCCCTAGATTTATTTGTTTGGCAACCCGCGGCTCAATGCTCGAGAAAGGCCGCGGACCATAACTGTTTTATCTGAACACCCGCGGCCCAAGACAGGACGCTCAGGCAAGCTCCGGACTTTACAGCACGCCCTGCATATTTGGTCATCGGGCAAGCCGCGCCCCTTTAGGTCATATCCCGGTAGAACCATTCTGGCGAACCCCGGGCCATGCTAAACGCCACAATTTTACACCCTGGAAGCAAGAACGCTGCTCGCGTAAGATGTCGCGGTGACTGGGGTGTTCTAAAGGCTTTGGTCTTTGGTTACAAAAGTTCAGCTTATGATTAGCAACGAAGTCCGTCCTGAATAGAACCCCGGCCAAATTTTGATGTAGATCGTGACCTCTACGCGAGGGGTAGAAGAATAAGAATACGAGTTTATAGACTTCTATAAAATATTTCCGCGTTTAGTTGGTGCATATGGGGCCGCCCGCTGACGCATATCGGGCATTCGTGGTTTCATTGCCGGGATATCCGCAGGTGGATTTCGGAAGCTTGGCGTGCGTTTATTCTACCACCCGCGGCATGAATGAAACGTCGGCCAACGCCTTTCCGCGGGTGGTCGCAATAATTGTCTGGGTATTTATAACGGTATGGCCCTGTGTGCAGAAGGTTGAAAGGCCACAACACAGGAATAACAGTAGCGGTGGACACATTGGGTAAAGGACAGAGGTGAACCCTGGTTGAGGCAGATGGGCAGAAGTGATACCGACCTCCGCGAAATTTGATAGACGAGATACGGGAAGCAGGCCCTGCATAAACGAGACCGATGACAGGAAATCACAGTCACGATG